GGTGGGGGTACGCCTTTGAAAGGCCTGTCTCTTCTGGCTCTTCCCTGCTAACCCTGTCTTCCAGCTGCCATCAGCTGAGCAGCCCTCCCCTGCCACGCCACTCTGTCCCTGAGCCAGCCACCACAGATTGAAGCCTCCAGAACTGTGAGCCACAATAAACTTCTTTTATGTTGTGTTTTTCCCAGAAACTGCAAGGCTCACTTATGTAGAAAGGAAAGAGATACGAGAAAAGGGAAACAAACTCCAAATGGGTTTCTACATAAATGATAAAGGAACAGGGAAAGCATATCCTCTCCTGAAGGATAGGAGATGGAGGGGGAGAGGGATAGAGGTAGATTCCTATCCCAGTTGTACTCCTGTTAGAGAAACTGAGAATGCAGATAAGAAGATATATACTGATCACTATCCATTAGTACGCAATAGATTCACTTACATTCTTATGTAACTTTTAAAAGTTATGTTATATATTAATTGTGGTCTTGAGAAAATTATCTGTCAAGAACTATCATTACTTTCACTAGTGACAGACTAAGTCTCCTTTGAAAGGAGGCTGAATAAGGAACAATATTACCACATAGAAAACAATCTGTACACTTATCCTTCACTCTCTCCCTATTATACTCAGAGTGAATTTGTACTCAAGAAAATCTGTCCTCATTGCAAGGAAGACAGTTATTTAACGTAAGTTACATATATATAATATATATTATGCATGTATTGTATATACACACACATATATATATGATTTGTATATGTCCCTATTACTATACTTGTTTTATCATCCACAATTATTATCAGTATATTATGTGGCCTTAATATATGTCTCCTATATTATACTTGAGAAGAAGGGCCTATACCTTATTTATCTCTGACTTGAACAGAATTTGGCAAATAGTAGATGCTCAGTGAATTAAATCAACTAACTTCACAGTTGAAATCATACTTGAAGTTCTGAGAAAAAAAATCAAATCTGTAAAAGTGAACATTTCTCCTCTCCTCTGCTCAAATAAAATAAACACCAATTCTCAGACAGATAAAAGATTGAGGGAACCAAACTAAACCATTAACCATAAACCAGATAATGTGTAAGGCTCCATTTGGACATGACTCTCCTAACACCCAACCTGTTTGTCAGCAGAGGCATTGTTCTCAGCTCAACACTGGTGCCCTCAGCAAACACAGGATGTGTGAAAGAGATAAGATAGAGTACTGAATCTTCAAAACGCTCAGATATCTGAAGACACTCAAACATTTATACCAGATGCCTCAAGAGCTTTGCCTACTGAGGCATAAGACATCCAGAGAACTCTGACCACTAATGTTCACTGTGATCTTCCTGCCTAATGTTCCTTGTCTTCTTTCAAACTCTACAAGAAAAAAAAAAAAAAAAAAAAAAAAAAAAACTTGTTCGCTACAGATGGTCTTTTCGCCCTCTGTCTGCCTGCACCTAGACACAATAAAATTCTACACCACACTGTCTTTACACAAGTCTGGTGGTCTTGGCTAGTCTCTGCCTTGTGCCCTTCCTTACAGAATGGAACTTCAGAGTACTAACAGCACTGAAAAGTCTACCTGGTGACTAGGGAGGGTCTTTAATGCCATATCTTGATCACACGATTCAGTGTAGCTTATTTCTGCTGCTAGAATACAAATCTGACACATACTAGACACAACTCTCTCTCTACTGCTAAAGAAGATGACTTTTTAAAATGCAATTCTGCTTTGATAAAATAGACCTGGAACCTATCTTGAAACTCAAGATTATCTCCTTTTTATTATTAATCTAGAGTCTCCCTCCCAATTAAATAACTGAGGTACAATAATTTAACTTTCAACTCAAGATTCTTGCTTATGAAAGAGATATTTTGGATCTTATTTTTGAGAAATCACACTCCGGAGTAAGTCATAAAAATCTAACGTAATAATTATGTACTTACATACTTACAAAAACAAAAGGTCTTTGGTACTAATGGCAAGAATGGTAGCTCAATAATTTTATTCAATAGCACAATTTTATTCAATAATATTCTATCTATATAGCACTTTATTTAAAAGTTTCCATGTGCTATATACCTGCCCATTGATTCTAGTTCTCTTGACAAAATGTATTATTAGTTAGGGAGGGGCAGATATAACCACTGAATTGATTTAGAAATTAAGATCCAGACTGACTACATGATATGCCAGGATCACTGGATTCAATTCATCAATTCAATATAACAAACATTTATTGAGTGCCTATCATATGCCACTCCCTTTTCTAGACACTTTCCATGTATCTGTGAATAAAACAGAAACAATCACCCATCTCTTGGGGCTTATATTCTAGTTGGGCAAAGAGAGGTGGAGTACAGGCAATAAGCAAGTACCGAATAAGGGGGATGGCAAGTGAGCAGAGCTGAGCAGGGAAGCAGGCTGCAGACCTAAGAGTTGTGTGGAGAAAAAAAATTCAGGAAGACTTTAAGAGACAGGGTATCATTATCCTGAAAGAGACCATTCTGATTCAAAAAAAAAAAAAAAAAAAACCAGCTAGAACAAAAGCCCTTAGGCAAAATGACTTGGTATTTTTCACAGTGAAAAGCTTAACTTGGCTGAAACAAAATGAGAAATAAGTGAACAACAATACAACACAGAAGTACAAATTGCATCCATTTTCTTACACAATGACTAAATAACATAAGGAATCACTGCAAGATTTTGAGTAGAGAAATGACAGAATCTTAACAGATCCAAAAAGATCACTCAGAAATATACAGACCAGTTAGGGGCAATTACAGTAAAAAAGGCAAGAGTTAGTTCTAATAATGGTGATATCACATGGGGAAAGGTTGTCAGACTGTAGACATATTTTGAAAGTATAGCCAATTGGATTTATTGAATGGTAAGATGCAGAATACGTGAGATAAGAAAGATAAGTCCAGAATCACACCCAAGTTTTGGCTACAGCAAAAGAAAAGCTAGAGTTACATCACCAAGACAGGGAAATTGTGGATAGAACAGATTTTAGGTGGGAGGATCAGGAGTGCAGTTTTGGCAATGTTAACTTTGAAATGCCTATTTAGACATAAGGTTAGAGATTTCTGGAAGGAATCTAGATATACAAATCTGGAGCTCAGAAGAAAAGTCTAGGCCAAGGCTACAAGTTTGAGAAATGTCAGCATATAAATTGAGGATATTTAAGGTCAATAAGCTGAGTAATACCACCAAAGAAATGGATGTAGATAATGAGAAGAGAATTACACAGTGGAACCTCAGCATGGCAGGCTGGGAAGAGAAAAGGAGTTAGCTAAGGAGAAACAGTAAACTATGAGATACTACCAAGAAATTATGAAGTATCCTGGAGTTTAGTGAATAAAGTATAGGGGAAAAATGGATGCAAAAGTGATCATCAAGGGACCGGGGAGATGGCTCAGTAGAATGAGCATTTACCTGGCAAGAGCAAGGGTCTGAGTTCAATCCCTGGTTTCACCAAGAAAAAAAAAAAAAAGAAGTGATTATCAACTTTATTAATGGTAGCTAACAACTTTAGTGGTTTGAGTCAATAAAGACTAAGAACTGATCAAAAACTGATCATTCTTCAACACAAAAATCAGGGCTGGGATGTAGTTAAAGGTAGTGTTTGTTTAGTACGTATGAAGCCCTGGGGGGCAATCCTTAGTACCCAAAAAATAAATAAGAAACACAGCAATTACTAATGATTGCTGGGCATGATTACAGTACACCTCTATAATCCCAGCACTCCGGGACACTGAAGCAGGACAATAGCAGCAAATCTGGGGACAGCCTGACTACATAGTGAGTTCAAGGCCAGCCTGAAGTACATAGCAAGACCCTGTTTCAAGAAGCCAAAACAAAAAAACCTCACTAATGACTTTAATAACAGCTCTACAGATAAAGCAACAGAGATAAAAGCCCAAGTGGAATAGGATTAAGAAAGCATAAATGGAAGAGCTGGGGAGAAAGCTCGAGGTCTAAGTACCTGCCTGGCAAGCAATAAGACCCAGATTCTATCCCTGATGGCCCGGAACCATGCTCTGTGTCAAAACCAGGCATGGTGGAGCACACCTGTAATCCCAGCTCTGGGGCAGCTGAGACAGGAGGATCACTACAAGTCCAAGCTGTGTAGCTGTGTAGCCAGACCCTGTACCAAATAAATAAATAAAAGATTTTAAAAAAATTTTTTAAAAAGAATAAAAAGAGAGATGGAACAGAGAACTCTTTCAAATTGCCTTGTTATGAAGGGAGAGGGAAAAATTAAGACAGTAGTTGGGGATGGCACAGTATGGTAAATATTATTTACTGGGTAATTTTGCTTTTCTAAGAAGGTAAAAATAAAGGTAAGCTTATATTCTCACACATATGATCCTACAGCAAGTAAAAATGTGATGATATAAAAGCAAGAGGGCAACATAATTAGAGTGAGGTCTTGGAATTGATAAGATGGGGCCTAGGACACCAGTAGAGGGCTCAACAACAAGGAACACTGAGGGTCCATCCATACTGTCATTAGCACAGGCAGCAAGCATACGTGGGTGTTGATGCTGATGGGTGGGAACTGATGGAAGTTGTTTTCTTATTATTCCAATTTTCTGGGGAGAGATGGAATGAACTAAAAGTGAAGTTCATGGATGGAATTTGGGGATCAGAGAAGATGTGAGAAAGTATTAAAATGATAATCTATAGAATAAAGTATGCACAAATATAAAATAGTATGATTTCCTGGCACCATTAAATGTCTGTTTGAGGTTTATAGTCATGAATTTAAATAGGACTGGTCAGAAAGGCTGTGTGTTGTACTCTATCACTATCTAGTTGCATGGATGTGGGCACAAAGGAAGAGCAGGACATAACCAAGACTGGCCTGAGCGCAAAAAAAGGAAGGAAATACAAGGGGATTCCTATAATGATCAACTATAGAATGTAAAATGGGTAAAAATAGTGATAGGAAAAGTAAAAGATCAAAAGGCTGGAGGTACCAGTGGGTTCAAAGAATTGTGATAAGGATTCCAGGATGACCTAGAAAGACAGGGAGTTGTGGTCACAAACTGAAATTATAGAAGGAATACAATTTCGGAATAACATCTAGGTAAGGATTTTTCAGTCTTAACATACTGAACTAGGAAGAAGTATCAAGGAATAAACCTAGGACCTTTGCCTGAACTATCCCCCCGGTATACCTTATTATTATTATTTTTTAACAGGTTCCTGCTCAGTCATTAAATTGCCTGCGCTGTGCTCAAACTCAAGATTCTCCTGCTTCACTCTCCCAGAGTGATGGGATTACAGATACATACCACCATGCCCAGCTGACACAATGACATTTTAGGTTAGAAAATTCTTCATTGTCTGTGACTGGCCTGAGCATTGTAGAATGTTTAGCAACATCCATGACTTCCACCTACATGATGCCAAATACCAGTCCCAGAGGTTGTGACAATCAAAAATGTCTCCAGACTTTGAAAAATCACCTATGTTCACAACCTGTGAACTAGGGTACAGCCAAGCAGTTGAGATCTCCAGGAAAAAAGATCAAAAGAGTCAAGGAAAAAATTAAGTTATGACTATATCAGGATTACCAATGGTTAATACAAGAGTAGCAAGTGAGAGGGAATAGAAACTACAAAGGTCAAAAATAAAGCAAAGGTCAGTAGATGATAACAATTAAGAGAAGTGAATGACATCTGTTAAGATTTAAAAAACTGGTGATTTATCATCTTCAAAATACATAGTAGTAAAGCTGGCACTAGAAGTCAGGCTTCCTTCCTAGGGCTTTTTTAAATGTCTAGAAGGTGAGGAGATAACACCTCCACATGATTTCTTGTTCAATTAAATTAGACTTGCAGTCAAAAATAGGGGTCAGTCACAAACAATTGGCACCATGTTACTGCCATATATAGCAAACAGCTGAAAGCACATATTTTTGGCTGAATACCATCCTAAAAATAGGACATAACATCTTGGTTTTTAAAACACTCTCAATTTTCATTCTGACCCTTAAAAACCCTTAGTGCCTTTGATTAGAAAAGAAATACCTTTAATTAAATGAATGCATTTCAGAGCTATCATAACCAACATTTTCCTTAGATAGCCAGTCACCTTTAAGCTTGTGCAGTCCAACCATCAAGGAGAACAAAAAGACCTTCATATTAAATGGACTGATTTGTAATGTTTTCCAACTGTGCATCACCTGCTGCAATGACTGCCACCTGGAAAGACATCGTCTCACCAGACGGCAAGCAGATTCAGAGCAAGTGCCCAGTTTTTATCCCCACCCCCTTAAACAGCTTTACAAGGGAAGTACTCAAAATTAATAGATGCATCCCCTTTATAGGAGGAACAGCTGCGAGATAGGAAATTCCAACTGTAGTGTTAGTTATTAAGCTGTCCCATATGCACTCTAATTTCAATAATTAAGTCTTCAGGCCACACGGAAGGTAGGCTCAGTGAACTCTGACAACCCCATCTGCAGAAATTTATCTTGTTATGCTTGGAATGAATTTAAATTTTTAATGCATAAAGATGAAGAACAAAGATGGTGTGAAGGAAACACATGATGCTATCATTTGAGTCCTGCTCGATTTTATAGATTACCTAATCCAGTATTTAAAGCACACACAAAACAAGGATGAAATCCTTTCATTTCAAGGCCCAATGCATTTGTTAGCACTTGTCAGAGCTCACCAATGGCATCGTTATTTATACTTTTACATAGTGCTATTACAATGACTAAGGTATCTTGAGGTATCATTTCTAAACTTGATGCTCTGCTACTAGAAAAAGGAAAACCTTCCAAATGTGAACCAGGATTTAAGTCTCAGATTTATGACATATTGGCTGTTATGTTACCATCTGGTTTCACTTATGATATTAGTCTTACAGAAGAAAAATTCTATGTATAGTTCTGACACAATCCTTGTTCAATAAATGAACATTAGTCCTCTTACTCTTAATTAAAACAAGTTTCAGAGAACAAAAAAAAGATAATCTTTTGGTTAGTCCTCTCTACTTCAAAGATCAGCACAACAGTCTGATTTTGTTATACTACATCATGAAGCTGGGCTGGTACTAGTTTTAGTCTTTATAACACAAATGAACACAAAGAACAGATGCCTACCTTCCAAACTTTCTTGTTCATCAGAAGTATAAGCATCCATTTGACTTTGTTCCCGTAAGAAACGAATAACTGCATAAACTAGGTGCTTGATTGATGACATTTTAGAAGCTTAAACACTTCCTTAATAATAAAAATGACAAAAATTTCAGTTAAAGAATCAGCCAGCAAGTTATTAATTATATAGGTAATAAATACCAAGGATTACATTTTTTAAAAAACTTGCATTACCTTGATCTTTTTACAGTCAAGAGAACACAGGGTACTGTTACAGTGATTTGTTACATTTCTTAAAATTTAAACTCAGTAGTATTAAACTATGTTTAATTTTGGATTAATAAGATTTTTTTCCAAAACATATAAAACATAAGCTTAAACACTCATGCATCTTAATTATGTATATGGTATGGATACAGAAAAAAGTATATATATAGATATAGAAATCCCCCAAAAGGCCTTGTCCTAAATTGAGGGAGATTCCATACTGCTGACTCAGAAACTGGTATACAATAAGCATCTTCACCTAGTACATGGGATTTATAAAAACTGTTAAACACCTAATTGACACTCCACCTACTTCCATTAGTCGGGAATTATCCGCTGAAGAAATACACTCGAGACAGGTTGTTTATTCACCGAGCGTCATTCTCAAAAAATGGCATTTGTGCGATCAACAGACGCGTCAGGAAATCATTGCCTAAACCGATGATACTACAAACGGACAGCGCTCCGCGCAGGGGCTGCTCTCACGGAGAGGCTGGGACGCCCATTCACGGGGAACACCGGCGCCTCCACGCGCGGCGCGGGGCCAGCGCACTAATGGCTCATCTCCACTAAATCGCAGCATCCATCTGCTCCCCGGGTTCCCTAACTCAAAGCCAGGGTGTGGTGCCTGCCGCTAAGATGCTTATTACGTGTACGGATTTTAAGGCGAGACTGAACCCAGCTGCTAGGCCACGGGTTATTAAAAAGCGTAAAAAAGGCTCCAGGGTAGAGGGCGAAAACAGAAAAGGGGAAAAGAGGTGGGGAGGGGAAAAGAGGCTACCTACCCCCCCCCCACATTTCCTTTGCGCCTCCCCCCCAGCACAGCTACCCCCGCTCCCAGCCTCCCTCCCAGCGGTATCCGGGCCTCGCCTCAGCCTCCAGGGCATTTGCAGCGGGTGTGCGGCACAGGCCTCCGTCTAGGGCCGGGGGACACGCACCATCTCCAGACCGAAGCACCTTACCAGCAAAGAGGATGCTTCGCGAGACAACGGCCGCAGGCCCGGGGAAGTCAGTTAACCGGTCCGCGCGCCCCCTGGGTCTCCAGCGTCGAGCCCGGCTCGGGATCTTAGCACTGGCCGGGTCGCCAAACTTCGCCGGCTCCCACGCCACCGCCCCCTCAGCCCACCCGGCTGCTCGCTCGGCTCTGGGCGGCGGGATCTCGCGGAATCCGCCCCTGGGGCGGTGCAGGGCG